TTCAGGGATCTTATCTATGCACAATCAGCTTGTAACACTCCAAAGAGAACAGAAAACTTGAAATCGCATCATATGACCCCTTTAATAAAATATTCTTAAGTAAAATTGTAGATTTTTTGTGGGAAATTAATTCTTTAGATTAATCGATTAATCGATAAATTAGTCGATAGATTAATCGAAATAAAAATAGTCGTTAGTGGCAGCCCTACTGATAGTTCTTTTGAGAAAGAGACCTGATATTCAATAAGCCAAGCGTTATCATTTGTTTATCTGTATTACATCTGTTTTTTATTTGTTGAACATCAATTAAATTGTTACTCTTAAATTGGTTTGGACGTTTTTTGTATTTTTTGTATTTTCTAGTTCGGGGAACAGACAGTCTCTATAGTGTGACCATATTGCATCTGTTTTTTATTTGTTGAACATCAATTAAATTGTTACTCTTAATTTGGTTTGGACGTTTTTTGTATTTTCTAGTTCGGGGAACAGACACAGTCTCTATAGTGTGATATCTAGGTGAAAGAGACACTATGTGCTGAGAATTAGCTGATTTCTGTGACGTGAGGCGGCTAGCAGACGGTCAGTTTATCCAGTCTGTCTGCTTCCTGACCTGGGCCCCAGTTAGTCAAGTACAAACTCTAAGACTATGTGCCATATTTCTAGACAGAAGAGCGGCACCACCCCAGGAGGGATGAAGACCATCTCTTTTCAACAGGTCAGGTCTGCCCCAAAAACTTGTCCAATTGTCTATGAAACCTATGTTATTCTGCGGGCACCACTTAGACATACGTGAGGGGTAAACGCTGGAATAAACAACGGGGAAAAGCTGAAGCTGATGCTTCACTTTATTGAAATCAATGCATTGACCAGTGCTGATGCAAGCCATGGGGGAGTACACTACCCTTAAAAATTGAAAGGATATTAGGATATTACCAAAACATTACTCTTAGGACATCGCAAACTATTTTTTTATGAATATGACCTAACCTGATGGAGGACGCGCTCAGTCATTCAGGCAGTCTCTGTCTCTCGCGCACACACACTGTTAGGCATGTTTTGTGCCGTTGATCGTCATCGTCTTCCTCAATAAATAAAAAATTTCTTCATGCTAGGGTGTCGGCGGTGAATCCAGTGGAGAGAAATTCCCCCACAACTAACTGCAAACTGGCATTCAGATCTGCCTCCATTTTGTTAGCAACTCCCCAACTTCCAATGATCCAATCAATTCCCAAAGGACGAAATCAAGTCCCGCCCTCTCATTTCAGATGCCGTTTCACTCTGATAGACGTCACAATAGGGGAAAAAAGACAATCGCTACTTCCGTTTCATGTCGACTTTAAAATTCAAAGTACTCATAGTCTTCCCCTTTTCTATCTTGATAACTTATTTATCATTATTATTTAAACGTTTACATTTTTGAGTTCCACAAAAAAAACAAAAAAAAAATTGGATGGACTATTCTTTGACATTTCAAACATGTATTTCCATAGTGTGATTTGTGGTGCACTGTTCACAAAACCTTGGAAACATCTATAGTGAAGTAATTTACACTTCACACTTGGCTATAATGGTAATTAATATTAGTAATTAGTATTAGCTTAATTGCTTAAGCAAATTCAGATCTTTCTGTGATGGACTGGTTGTCTATACAGGGTGTTTCCCTGCCTTCACCCTGGGACGCTGGATCCCTGCAATTATACATAGTACAAGTTGTTTGGAGAATGGATGTATTCAGATCTTACTGTGTCATGACACAACTTAAAGGGATAGTTCACCTTCAGTTGCTGGTCTCCATTGACTTCAAAGTCAATGGGGACCAACTGAAGGTGAACTATCCCTTTAATGTTTGGTTTTAAAACTAATATAAATTGCTTTCCATTTCTGGTTCCAGGTTGTTATTACCGTTGTCATAGCAAGTGCATGAATCTTATCAACAAACCATGTGTGAGGTCAAAGGTCAGCCATCAGTCTGAGTATGAACTCAGCATCTGTCCTGAAGTCGGTCTAGACAAACAGGACTACAGATGTGCTGAGTGTCGGACACCCATCTCTCTACGTAAGTCTCTTTCCAAACAGACATCACATCTTCTATTGCTTTTCCAACATTTATCTTTGTCCCTGATGATGACACAATTGTGAACAGATGTTTGTTTGTTTGTTTTTTAATTTGTTTTATTTTGTTTTTGTTAATAAATTCTTTGTGGTTATAGTCAAAAGTGCTAGATTCAGTGTTGTATGATTGCTCTATAATGGGAGAAATGGAGTTAACTTTGATATTTAGAATTCCCTTGCATAGGAAGTTGTAAAACGTTGTCTTGTGTTGTGTAGGGGGTGTTCCTAATGAGGCACGGCAGTGTGATTATACAGGTCAGTATTACTGCAGCAGCTGCCACTGGAATGACACGGCCATTATTCCGTCTAGAGTCATACACAACTGGGAGTTCGAGCCCCGTAAGGTACAATAACACTAAATCTGTGAATCTAAATGTTGTCTAATGTGTACATAAACGCCCCGATATATTCACAGCAAAGTTCTTTTTCATTTTTCGTTTACGGATGTAATGTTAGCAAACATCCCTATGGAAAGCCAAATTAAATTAAAACGGCGTTAAATAAGCGCCGTTAGGCGACAAGTTAACGGCAGACGCCACCACGCGTTAAAATAACGCCACACGCCACTTAAGATGCAGATTTATTTGCTCATCTACATGGACACACCTCTCATGGCTACAAGGACTCTACGGCAAGTCGGAGCATCCAGTTTGCAAGAGCGTGAAGAGAAGATGGCAAGTACAGCCCTTACAATTCTAGATATAGGGGAAAAAATGCCCCTGAATGAGCTGTTGTCTCATAAAGTTATCACACGAGTCATGAATGAGTGCAAATTTGGAAATTATTTTATACAACAGTTAAATAAATAAGAAATTATTATTATTATTATTATATAGTATTTTGAGTATCATTTCAGTTTAAAAAATAGTTGGGGATAGTTTCACGAAAATTTTAATTCTGTTTTTTTACATTTACATTTACTCACCCCAATGTTGTTTCAAACCTTATGCATTTATTGCTTTAAGATATTTTGAAGAATGCTGGTAACCAGGGTCGGCGCCAGAGCGGACAAAGGCTGCTTTGAAAAAAAAAATTGTTTCTGAAAGTAATTTTCAGATGCAACTGGAAAAAAACGGGATAAACACAAACATGAAACTTGTAAATAAAATAATCTGATGTATAGCCTATGTACAATTTAATAACATATAGCCTAGTTTGATAGGCCTATATGAATTGGGTGTTCGTCCTATAGATAAATATTAAAATTACAAACACACAATAACATTTTAAGTTACTTCCATTTCTGAAAAAAAGAATGTAGGCCTAGTAATTGATGTTATAAATAGGCTACACACGCCTGATTTTTGTTTTAATTATCCATCGTACATATAAAAAAAATAAACATTTGCAATCAAGACTGAAAAAAGCCAAAATTGAATGTAAACCAGATTTGGCCCAGACTCTGTTGCTATCTGGGAAGCCAAGCATAAGAATAGCCTACTAATGTAAATTTGTTAACCCACAGTAACAAATTTGAACAGATTAATCACATATTTTCGTTTGCTGCATGCTTTTAAAAACACAATCATTTTTTTTTTTTTAGGAAAATAAAAAAAAAGATACGTCTCATATAAGTTGCATTTTCAGAAATAATAACGGCAGGCCTAATAATGTTATAATGTACCAACATTATGAACACTATAGGATATTTTAGTTCCCCTCACTTTACAACAAATCCTTTAAATTTAACCGTATCAGAACAGAATAAGAATTTAAAAATATATAATTCTAATGGATAAATATAATTGCAGTATATAATAAAATATGCTTAGCAATAAACATGCCAAAACAAATTAATTTATAAACTCATAATTACCGCAGGCATAAAACAAACGAATATCATCAGCAAAAATTGAAGTGGTTTGAATGGCTTTACTGCAGAGCAATTACTATACGCAATGAAATATAAATGTCACTGCCATTTGATGCTGGATGTGGTGAATAAGCTGCCAGTGATCAAAATATTGAATATCAAGTCATTGAAAACCATCGTTTTGAGAATATGGTTGAGATCGTGAATGTGAGGCAGATGCTGAATGTACTGTGGAAGTGCGACTCTGACGATGACAGCGACAGGCGAAACATTCATGTATTTAAGGGTTAAAGCTACAGTACATTTTGTTTGCTTTTTGTCATTCTTTGCTTTTCTCATTTAACACAATTAGGCTATATGACTTTAAAATATCTTTTGAGGGTACTTTTTTTTTCATTTTTAAAAACATAACATAATGATAGTCAGTGCTCGAATTGAGGGGGGCTGGGGGGATCCGGGACCCCCATACAAAGTAAAAAAAATAAATAAATAGACTTAGGGGGGTCCCCCCAAATATTTTCTATTAGTATCGACAACAAAGACAAATTTGAAAAAAAAAACTCACGCAGTTAGGATAGTAAATGAGATTAAAGGGATTGAGTCCGGGGAGTGAATTTCGAGGGAGGACGGCGTTTCATTTCCAACTGGTCTGCAGACTGCAGCCAATAAATGCTTATCGGTGCGCCTCAGATCGTGAAGCAGACTGCAGTTTTGTCATTCCTTATAACAAACAAAGTGTAGAAAAGATGTAATAATAGATTCAGTGTGCAGTGTAGGGAGCCTCATTAATTAAAATGGAAGTTTGTGAGATCGCAATGAACTAAGAGGAGCGACAGCTTTTTAAAGGGAGTTTGCAAATTTAAAATTGAATTTACCTACAAGAGTTTTATACATTTTGGATTTTATACAAAAGTTAACCTAAGGACTTACATTTCAGGAACACTGTTGTCTGATTGTGCTCTATTTCTCAAACAAAAAGTTAAAACAAAATCACAGCTGATCCGCTGCGCATCTCCAAGCAAACACACAGCTGTTTCGTTTTTTTGAATGAATCTGCGTTTTTGAACAAATCTAGTGAGTCAATGATTTAATCACCCATTCATAAAGAGAGTCACTTGCTTCGTTCCCAAATGAATCAGCCGTTTGAATGAATCGATTAAATAAATGATTCAGACAAGGCAGTGACATGCTGCCACCTACTGGCGGTTTCAATTTCATTTTAAAGTATGAATTGAGTCATTTAAATCGTTTAATATTTCTATATTCAAAACTTTATATTTTAAACATTAATCTCATAACATCTTTATTATGAAATGCGTTAATGCCACCTCTGAGTCTTGTCAAAAAAGTCTGTAAATATTCCTTAATGCAACAGAAGAGTTCTGTGCCTTGCAAAGATGAATTGTTGATGGAATTGGTGATTTCATTTGACTGGCAACTTATTCTTCTTGATTGTATTTTATTATTTTAATATATTTTATTCTTTAATTAAAATTTTTGATAAAAGTTTATAAATCTAAATGTTTTGGCTCAAAGTATTTATTATTTTACCTTTTATTACCATTATCACAGTCAGAGTTGATTTCAGTTAGAATTGCAACTTCAATTTCTACTATTAAGCAGCTCTCCAGTGTTTTATCACTGGATGTCTGACCTCGATGGATTTCACGTCAAAGAGGGCAGAGCCACTGTGCACACCTACCTATTATATAATTGCCATGGATCAATGGTAGTTCAAAGGTGTTTACCAGCCGGAGCGAAACTTTTCCAGAAAGTTTGCTTTGGCAAGCTGTTTCAAACTCCCGAAACAAACTCCAAACCAACTTTTGGCCTGATTTTGTTTGAAATTATGTCACACCAGTTAATTTTTCGATTTTGCTTGAAGTATATCGGGGGCTTAAGCAGCTACCTTCGAAGGCGGCATCTTAACTGAAATGGAACTTCATAAAGTGGCTAATTTGAAACACTTCACAAAGGCAGAAAATCCACATGGCACCCACACCTCACAAAATAGCAAGTTGGAGACTCAACTTATCATTGGCTTCAACAGAGTTTGTGTTACCATACTCTCGGTGCACTGATTACTATATCATTGTATTTCTGCATGAACACAGTTCAGATATATTTGTGTAGTTGTCAAAATTCATGTACAGCAAGTGTTTTATAACGGATGCTCACTGAAGAAGCGTGTTTTGAAGAAGTTTGTGGGCATCAGTGGTTTTATGTACACATAGGCATCAGACGCTCCAAACGTAGATTGCTTGTTCTGACAGAGAAACTGTTCACTGATGACGTCGGCCAGATCGCTGAATTTCCACACATCCAGAATGTTGTTTTTTTTTCATTTGTATTTTGTTTAATTTAGTACATTTAGATTTACATTCATTCATTTAGCAGATGCTTTTATCCAAAGTGACTTATAATTGAGGAATACAACAAGCGATTCATCATAAAAGTTTGAAAAATGGGATTACAAAGGAAAAAAAAAAAAAAAACTTTAAAGGAGTCAAATATCGCCCTATAAGGTTAATTTCTGTCATTGATCAGACGTTGTTCCTAACAAAAATATATATATTTTTAAATAAAGAGGCAAATAAACACAGGAAGTGCTCATAATACAAAGTTTCAGACATTGTTCAAACTAATACAAGCTAGACAGGGAGGGGTTAAGGAATGAGAAAGCAAAGGTTTTTTTTGTATTATTGTTAATATTATTTAAGTCAGGACCACTCTGTTTGAGTAAGATTATTGTAGAGGTCCTGAACTTTATATTTGGCGGCAGGCTTCGCTTTGAAGGGTTCAGATTCTGAGCTATCCACAGGCAAACCTCACTGAGGTTTGAAGCCCCCTGAAGCCTAAGCAATTCCCAGATATTTTATATGCAACAGTTGTATATTCCTGTAGAGTAATACAGTACTGTGAATAAATTTGGACAAATTTAGCAATGTGCTGGATAGATGATATATCTCCGTGGGCAAGCATTTAGTGATCATGTATCTGCATAAGGAGGAGTTGGGGATGGAGGAGGGTAAGTGCATGTCTGTGCGACAGACTATGGCAATTGTGAGTACGGATGAACTTATATATCTTATTAATTGTAGTGGGAGGAGTTATGATCAGCTGAGCATCACAAACGACCACGTCTCAGCTGGTGAAGATAGTGTGTTTCAATTATGATCAGGAAAGCTGATCTCTGATAAGACAACTGGTGAGGATAAACTAGAAAATTTATGTATATCAGACATAACCTTGAATAACTCCATGAGAGGAAGAAATAATGTTGAGTTATATTCCCCCAACAAAATGAAGTACACAGTTAGCTGCTTTAACCCTTTAACGCGTTTAACTTTCAGTGGGTCACGTCATCAACTGCTGAATTTAAATCTGCTTTTGGCTTTGGCTGACGCGAGACAGATCGGACGCAGTGAGCGCTTGTTATATTATCACAAATATTCAGTGTTTTCAACCATATAATGCTTATTTTAGGTTTCAGACATTTAAATACACATAAGTACTAGCAAAACCATACAT